CCCCCCCCCCCACTTCCACTCTCTGAAAAACAAAGGAAAAAATATCCTCGGGTAAAGATTTAAAAAAAAAGAAGAAATAAGAAAATTATTCTCTGCCCTTCACCTTAAGAAACCAGTCCTGGGGGTGGCTCTGTATCTTAGATTTAATCTGGGGGTCCCCATGTCTGAGCCTGTATCCCTATAAATCCTGATCCTCCACTCGAGGAGGGGCCCTGTATCCAAGACCCAAGCATTGGTGGGGTCTCTGCTTGAGACCTCAGGACTCTGTCTCTGTCCCCATAGGTTCTAGTCTCTCACACCTCTTGGGGATGGTGTCTGAAGCCCTGAGACTAAGCCCGCATATCAGTGGTCAGCAAACTGTAGCAGTGCCAGCTACCTGTTTTTGTTAATAGTCTATGGCTGATTTCATGCCACTAGGGCAGAGTTGAGTAGTTGTGGCTGAAACCGTATGGCCTGCAAGTTTAAATATTTACCATCTGGCACTTTAGAGAAAATGTTTGCCTGTCCCTCCCTTATGCTGAGAGTCTCTGACGTCTGCCTAGGAAACCCAGCTCGGAGGGCGCCCATAGCCTGGACTCCACCATGAGGGTCCCTGCCTCCGTGCCTGGCCCTGGGAATCCCAGCCCAGAGGCCCCAGGTCTGACCTCAATCCTTAGTCCTCTGTGCCTCCCACCATAAGATCCAGGTCACAGCGCCCTCAGCTCCAGAGTCACTGTCCTCTGTTTTAAGCCACGATGGCCCCAGACATAGCCCATCACCTTTGACACAGCTCAGGATGCCTGCTGAGGACTGGCACACCTCCCCCGCCTCGCAGCTGTGGTTCTGGCACACCAGGCCTTTCCCAGAGTGGCACACGCACAGCTGCCGGCAGCTGTCCACGAGGACCGTCTGATTGGGCTGTGGGGACAGAGGGCATGGCCATCAGTGCAGGAACTGACTCCAGCATCTCTGGTGTTCTGGGCAGAGGGGTCCAGAGGAGAGGAAAGGGACATCTTTCATCAAGGTGGTCGCTTGTGTGTGAAACCAAGGCATCGCATGGCCTGGGGGTTCAATTTATTTATTCACTCACTTTCATTCATTTACTCATTAGTTTATTACAAAATAGCCACTAAATGCCTACAGTATAGGATAAACAGTGTAACAGAGGAATTAGGAGCCAAGGCTCTGGAGCAGACTGCCTGAGTCTGGAGCCTGTTTCTGCTATGTTCCGATCACATCATTCTGTGCAAATTATGTAACCTCTTTATGCCTCAGTTTCCACATCTGCAAGTTGCAGATGATAATTGCACTTACCTTTGAAGAGAAAATGGGTAGAGATGGACCAAGAATGGGAAAATGTTGATTTTTTTTGAAGCTAAGTGATGGGTACATGGAGATTTATTACACTGTTCTCTTTTGTATGTTAGAAAATTTTCATGATCAAAAGTTTATATATCATAGTATAGTATAGTGTAGTGTAGTATACGTATAGCACTTACAGCAGTAACCGGCACACAGTAAGCACCATCTGCCTATTTGTTGTTATTATTATTCATATAAGGAGAGCATCAGAGGGCCCTGCCCTCACAGAGCTCACAGTGTTTTGAGGGCAACAGACTTTAAACAAACACACTCGTATCAAAAGAAAAGGAGGAGCCCGGCCTGTGTGGCTCACTGGTTGAGTCTTGACCCATGAACCGAGAGGTCACTGGTGTGATTCCCCGTCAGGGCACATGCCCGGCTTGCAGGGTTGATCCCCAGTAGGGAGCATGCAGGAGGCAGCCAATCGATGTTTCTTCTCATTGATGTTTTTATCTCTCTCTCTCTCCCCTCTTCTCTCTCTAAAAAAATCAATAAAAACATTAAAAAAGAAAAGAGTCCAGCCGGCGTGGCTCGGCAGTTGAGCATCGACCTTGGATCCAGGAGACCATGGTTCGATTCCTGGTCAGGGCACATGCCTAGGTTGCAGGTTCGATCCCCAGTAGGGAGTGTGCAGGAGGCAGCTGATCAATGATGAATCTCTCATCATTGATGTTTCTCTCTCTCTCTCTCTCTCCCTTCCTCTCTCTGAAATCAATAAAGATATATATTTTTTAAAAAGACAAGGAAAGAAAAGGAGTAGCTGTGATAGTGGAAGAGGGAAGCAGAGGGAATTATATGCTGGTGTAACAGAGAGAGACAAAATCCTGACCTGGGGACCCAGGGGAGGGTTTAGAGTTGCAGGAGCCACGGTCATATTTACAAAGGTCTTTCCCACTGTTGTGAAGACAGTGACCAAAGGGAGCAAAAGTGGGAGCTGGGAGGGAGCCAGGTAGGAGGGTACAAACGGGATCACAGTGGGGCTGTGGGTTGTGGAAGAGAGGTGGGTGGGAGGGACGCTGAGGATGCCAAATGGACAGACTGTGGGGTTGATGGGCAGTGGGAAGGGCAGGTCCAGGATGAGGCCCCAGGTCTGCTCAGGACGACCAGCTCCTACCTCATAGTAGATACCATTGTGGTAGCAGCCACACTTCTGGATGGGCACGCAGCTTTCGCCATCACTGAGGAAGCCGTGGTCACACTGGCAGCCCTCGGCACAGTTCTCCGGGCACTGCGGGGCGGCACTGAGCGCAGAGCAGCTCAGGGAGCAGGTGTCTGCGCAGAGCTCGTAGTGGCTGTTGGGGGGACACTTCATCGCTGCAAAGAGGGGGTGTGGTTCAGAGCCCCTGGGAAGGAGGGGTTGTGGGGCCCAGGGACTGCCCCTCCTGTGCCTTAACCTCCCCCTCTCTCTGTCCCTTGGTCTCCCCCTTCTCTGCCCCTTACTCACGACAGAAAGATTCGTTCCTCCAGGGTTTGATTTGGCCTCCAGCCGCCTGGCAAGCACTCACATAGGCATGAATGTGGCTGCAGAGAATGCTCTGGTTTCCGCCACTCACGCAGAGATCAAAGACACAATCCTGCAAGGGACCGTTGGGATCAAGCAGCTTGTGGCAGGCAGCCAGTGACCCGGTGGGGCTGGTGAGGACCCCGCAGTACTCCTCCTGATGGTACTTCTTCTGCAGCTCAGGTCCACACGTCGGAAGGTTGCAGTCTTCGCCGGGCTTGCAGGGAGGTGGCAGCAGGCAGGGAGAGCCGGGCACTGCCTCCTCCCAGGAGTGGCCAAACTCATCGGGGCTGTCTGTCTGTGAGCCATCGGGCTTCTGGAAGTCATCCTTGGGGTTACCGTTGTAGTTCCCGCACAAGCCACATAACTGCTGGTAGTAGTTGCCTGGGACGGTGACCCGCACGTTGTACATGAGGTCATAGGCCACACGTAGGCCAAAGTCAGTCTGGATCACAATGTCTGAGCCGTGCTGGGAGGCTCGGATCAGGCCGTCAGCCAGAACCACAGGTGGCTTCCTGTCCACACCGTTCACCTGGGAGGCAGGAGATGCCAGGCTTCAGAGGGTACACTTTGCGAGGGCAGACCCTAGTCAAGCCACTGAAGATCTGTATGACCTTTGTTTCCATATTTGTAAAATGAGTATAATAATAGGGTCTTAGAGTGGGTTGAATGGTGGTCTCCAAAAGATATGTCCACCCAGGACCTCAGAATATGACCTTACTCAGAATATGATCTTACTCAGAATATGACCTTACTCAGAATAAGGGTCTTTGCAAATGTAACTAGTATAATGATCTTGGGATGCGATCATCCTGGATTAGGGTGAGCCCTCTATCCAATGACAAATGTCCTTATAAGAGCCAGAGGAAGAGAAGACACAGAAATGCCCAGAGAAGGCCAGTGAAGACAAAGACAAGGATTGGAGTGACACAGCCACCAGCCAGGGAACTCTTAGAACCTCCAGAAGCTGGAAAGGGTGAGGAAGGATTCTCCCCTAGAGCGTTTGAAGGGGGTGCAGCCCTGGCCAACACTCTGATTTTGGACTTTGGACATTCACAGCTATGAGACAATCAAGGTCTATTGTTTTAAGCCACAAAGAACTAATACAGGCCTCAATGGGATAACCACCTTGCCAGTTATTGTTTCATCGCCACTTACTGGGGTGATCAAGAACGCAGTGACTGACTCCAGAGACGCCTGCCTGGGTTCAAAGCCAGCTCTGCCCCTCACACTCTTTCTGTGACCTTGGGCAGGAGTGTCACCTCTGTTTCTGTTCCCTCATCTACTCAGTGGGAATGAGGCACCCATCTCGTGGTGTGGTTGTCAGGATTTGGTAAATTAATATTTTCAAAGTGCTGAGAAGTGTATCTGGCACAGAATGGGTGTTCTGGGAACATTTGCTATTATAAGCTATGGCTGGGAGTTTTAATTTCAAAGAGCAAATGGGCACAAAGGGTTTTTGCCTTAAGCATCAGTGAGTGAAAAGTCAGGCTAAATGTCTGGGGAAATGAATTTCAAATCCAGGAGCCAAGAATCATTTGTTTCAGTTTAAGACTGCTGGGCACCAACAAAGCCTTGTAAGTCCAGCCCTGATTGACATGCTTGTTTGGCCTTTCTTAACGCAGACACGATGAACATTAGATTGTTCTGGAAGTGTGAGGAATCAGAGGAGAAGGCAGGAGAAAGACATGCTCCTGGCTGAGTCTCCTAAAAACAGAGTCATACTTCCAGAGCAGGGATGGACAGTGGTTAAGGACAAGTGACTTAACCCCAGTGCCTCAGTTTCCTCCTCTGTATAGTGGGGATATTAATACTTTCTACCTCATGGTGAAGCTGGGGGCTTCAGTGAGTTGGAAATAACAAGAACACCAACAACTCACGTATTTAGAGGCAGCTACAGGCCAGGTGCTATTCTATAGTTTGCTTATATCAGGGACTATATTTAAACATCAAATGCATGAGCACATGAAACAGTCGGCTAGCTAAAGGTCAGCAAGCTCATTGTCAATATCGCTGCTAGTACAATGGCCATGTGCCTGAAGTCTAGTGGGATCTCTGGAAAAACCCTCCAGTGTTAGTGAAATGCCAGTTCCCACGTGAGAGACCAAATCCTTCTCAGTCAGAAAGAGCACTGAAGCACCAGGGTCCAGGGTGCTGTCTCCTGATGCACCACCTTGCGTTCAAGTCCTGCTTTTGCTGGGGGACTTTGGGCCAGTGATGAGGCGCCCCCCCCCCCAAAATATAAAGCAAATCGTGGCACTACAGCTACTTCTGTGAGAATAAAATGATCTCGTAGGTGTCAGCTGTGTAAAAACCATAGCTGCTGTTACTGTGGTTCTGGCTGTTGAGGAGCGATGGGTTATCCACAGACTGTCCTCTGTCCCTGAGTCTTTCCCATCCTTGAACTTTACTGACCTCTGGCTGCATCATTTCTGTCGCAGGCTGGGAGACCAGGGAGGTGGCTGGGGCAGGGACCAGGATGGAGGGGAAGGTGGAGGGAGAAGGAGGAAGATGCGGGAGAGACATTCAGGGGTATAGTCAAGGGGCAGAGAGGCGGGAGACTGAGCCACATGGGAACAGGCCTCAGGTCCCCAGGGTCTCCTTGGCTCCCCACTCTGGGCTCTGATGGGCAAGCCCTCTCCTCGGGAACCCCATGCCTTCTACTCTGAGCCCTACGTCTCCTGCCCTCGGGCTGAGTGCTGCCTGGGTCCCACCCACAGATTAGCCTCTGCCCCAGACCCCTCTTCAGGTTCCTCCTCGGTCTCACCTTGACCTTCCACTGATTCTGTTCTAGCCGCAGGGTGAAGTTAGCCACCTGGACAGTGACCACACGGGTCACACTGACTTTTTTCTTGTTCCAGACCACATTCTCCTGCAGGACAGTAAACTGGTGCAGACCAGGCCGGGTCCCACAGGTCTGAGCCAGCACGTACACACAGGTGCCCATGAAGTCGAAGCGGCGGCCATCGAAGGTGGTGTAATGAGGATCTCCCGACGCCTGGCAGGTGGCAGAGCCCACAGCCACACAGCCCAGGGTGCCACCGGATGGCTGGCAGGCCTCATGCGGGCCGCAGGAGGAGGGCTTACAGGACAACAGGCCACCCTCCTGGCAGTGGCAAAGGGAATTGCACCCAGGTCCAGGATAGAAGGTCTCGCCCAGAGGGTGATAGATGCCCTGGCACAAGCAGCCGCAGGAGGACGGGGGCACGCAGGACTCACCATTGAGTACAAAGCCCTCGTCGCACACACAGCCCTCGTGGCAGTCAGAGCCGCAGCCCCCGGGCACAGGGAGGTCTCCACAGGACAGTGGGCAGCCACGGGAACACACTTCATAGTGACTGTGGGGCGGGCAGCTCAGTGCTGCAGGGAGAGTGACCATCAGAATTGAGAATCCCTGACCCTAGTGATGCAGCTGATCTCCTGACACACATGCATGTGCGCACACACTGCTCACACACACGCGCGCGCACACACACACACACACACACACACACACACACACACACATTCACACATAAGTGGTCCAGCTGCAAGGAGTCCCTCTGTTGAGTGGGGCCTGGGGAACAGATGACATCACAGTTAGTCTGATCCTGATAATTAGGATTCTTTTCCCATTTAACTGTGTGTTATCTGTAACATCTTCAGTGACTTTATGCAAGTTGGTAACAAGTTGTGCACATGTGGCACGTATTTTAAACATACATATACACATATAGTGAGTGTGTGTGCAATCTATGCAGTGTATTTGTGAAGGCAGAACTCTTAGCTTCTTCATTCTATAGTAGGAGTAGTAATTCTATAGATTAAAATATTTGGCCATGTTGCAAAGAAAAAATAAAGAATCCTGGTTCCTCTCTCCGAACCCCTCTCACTCCAGATTATAAAACAGGCAGTTTCCTTAAAAAACAAAATAAAACAAAACAAAAACAAAAAAACTAAAACTGAACCCAATCAATCTATCTGTGCAGCCCAATTATGATAGCCACTGTGGCCATTTAAATGTAATTTAATTAAAATGAAGTCAAATTGAATATTTAGTTTCTTGGTCACAATAGCTCCATTTCAAGTGCTCAACAGCCACACGTGACTAGTGGCAACCATATGAGACAGCTCAGATATAGAACATTTCTGTTATCACCAAAGTTCTATTGAACAGCACTGTTCTAGACCTAATACCCAGTTTACAAGAAAATCTGGCTGGAGAGAGGGACAAGTTCAATAACTCTATAAAGAAGCAACTAGCCAAATCCAGAAAATAGGAAATTCTGCAGGAAAAACGACCTGTTTCCTCCAATAAATTAATGGCATGAACAAAAAGGAGGAGTGGATACAGGAGTAGATATACAACAAAGAAAATATAATAAAATGTAGATTGTAGAATCTAGATGGTAAGTGTATTCACTGTATAATTCTTTCAACTTTTCTGTATGTTTGAAAATTTTCATAATAATATGTTGGGAGAAAAGGGGAGGAGATTATTATAGGATAAAAGTGATTTAAAAAAAATCACTCAATGCGTTAAGTGGGCTTGGTCTGAATCCAGATTCAAATAAACTGAAAAAACCCCCACATTTTTCTTAGATAATTGGGGAAACTGGAACCCAGGTTGGTTTTTGGATGATGTCAAGGAACTAGTGGCATGGTTTTTAGTTTCAACAGTATTTAGCCTATTGTAACATAGTTTTATACACAAAAGTCTCTTCTGATCACTGCATCAGTTAGTTTTTGCTGGATAACAAACATCCCCAAAGCTTAGTGAATTAAAACAACCGGTGCTTATTATTTCTCATTATTCTGTGGGCTGTGCAATTATTTACACTTAGGATGAAAACTAGAGATTTACGGTTGCACTTATATTAAGTTCAGAAACTTTAGAAGTCAGAATAGTGGTTACCTCTTGGGGTATAGTGCTGGGAAGAGGGCATGAAGGGGCTTCTGTGGCAGTGGGGGGCCTAGTATGTTCTTTTTCATGATTCTTGGGAAAGCTTACACAAATTTGTTCTCTTGCTAAAAATTGATTAAGCTGCTACTTATTATATGTACATATTTTTGAACATGTGTTTTATATTTCAACAATAAATTTTAAAATGTAAAAATCAGGTGAGGGGATGCATGGCTTTGTGAACTTCCTTTATAGGCAAGCAAAAATGTTTGAAGACCACATCCTGTAGCCACATCTGATGCAAGGGTCTCCAAGTGACTGCCCAAGGGGCCAGGCAGATGCTGTACAGGAGTGAAGTAGGCCGGATGGGAACCAATGAAAACTGGAGAGGGCACAGGCTCCTCCACTGCTCATCCCTGAATGACAACCGCCATATGGCAATCAGACCTGGGGCCACCAGAGATATCCAGTCATCTCATAAATATTTACTGCATCTGTGATTTCCTAGCTGTCATGATAATCGGGCATGTAACTGATCCTCTCTGAGCCTCAGATTCCTCATCTGTTAAATGGGTAAAACCACAGTCCCTACTTCATAAGGTTGTTATAAGAATTAAATGAGTTAATGATATGTATATGTTAATGAGTATACACAAGGCTGAGACCCCAGTTCTCACTATTGGTACTCACGGCAAAGCTTCTCACTCCTCCAGGGGTGCACAGTGGCCCCAGCGGCCTGGCATGCAGCAGCATAGGCAGCCAACGCGTCACACAGTGGCCCAGACTGGCCTGGCAGCAAGCAGCAATCGTAGACACAGTCTCGCACAGCACTCTGTGGGTCCAGCTTGTAGTGGCACTCCCGGAAGGGCCCCTTAGGGTCAGCAAGGATCCCACACTCATTCTTGCTCTGCAGCTGCTGGGCCACCAGAGCATCCAGCTTGGGACAGTCACCTGGGTTGGTTGCTTCACAGCCTGGCCTTATCTCCTCCTGCCAGCTGTTCCCGAAGGCCAGTGCACTGTCAGCTTGGCCCCCACCCGGCAGAGCCAGATCATCATCTGGGTTCCCATTGAAGTTTCCACAGAGCCCACACAGGGCCCCAGCATAGCTTCCGGGCACCTTGGCAGTCACACGGGTATTCCAGTCATAGGTGACAGTCAGGCCAAAGTCTGTGCGCACGACCGCATCTTGGCCCTGGCGGAACACCTGGACCTGCCCATTTGCTGCCTGGAAGGGCAGATACTGAAGGATGCCATCCACCTGGGTAGAGATGCGGGAGGGCCAAGGGGTTAGGGTGTATCCATGGCTCTGTAGCCCACCCCTCTTTCTCAGCTCCAGCTAGTCTCAGCTCCTTGCTATTTCTCTTGAGCACATTATGCGTGGTCCCACCTCAGAGCCTTTGCACTTGCTGTTCCCTCTGCTTAGCAGACCGTTCACCTCTCTTCATACTTCAAGTATACGTTAAATCCAAATCCCTAACTTGTGGCTTTCAAAACATACAGACTCTACCTCCCTGTGACCTCCCTGACCTCACCTCTTCACACCCTCCCCCTCACTCATTCTGAGGATTAAAAGGGTTTAGCACAGTGCCTGACACATGGAAAGTTCTCTCGGTTTTCCATTTCCGATTCATCTTCCTCCTGAAAGCATGGGCCACTGCCCCAAACTGCTCCATAATAATTATCAACTATTGTTGTGAATCCTACAACAACCCCACCTCTTGATTTTTATCTTTTTTTTAAAAAGAGTAAATCCGTGGTTCTTGACTTCTGCTGGGTGGTGGACCAGGAGAGCCCTCTGCCCAGAAACCTGCTGCTGTTTGGGCTCTCCCTTCTCACCCCCCAGCACACACACCTCTAGCTCCTGACTTTTACAGGTCACCTTACTCTCTGAAAATCAATTGTCTTCCAGGAAGTGCACAAATCTATGACTTTGGAGGGTTCGTATCGATATAATGTTAAGTCAGCGTTTACTGAACATCTGCTGAGCGTCCAGGGTCTTTTAAACACTCTACAAATATTAACTGGTCAAATTCCCACAACCACCTTGCGCAGTGGCTTCTGCCAGAAGCACCGTCTTATCTCATTTGACAGAGGGCAAAACTAAGGCCGGGAGAGCCAGAGTCACGCAGCCTGGGAGAGGCAGCACCGCCCTGCTTGGGGGCCCTGGCTTTAATAGCCCTGCTTGGGGGCCCTGGCTTTAATCGCCCTGCTTGGGGGCCCTGACTTTAATCGCCCTGCTTGGGGGCCCTGGCTTTAATCGCCCTGCTTGGGGGCCCTGGCTTTAATCGCCCTGCTTGGGGGCCCTGGCTTTAATCGCCCTGCTTGGGGGCCCTGGCTTTAATCGCCCTGCTTGGGGGCCCTGGCTTTAATCGCCCTGCTTGGGGGCCCTGGCTTTAATCGCCCTGCTTGGGGGCCCTGGCTTTAATCGCCCTGCTTGGGGGCCCTGGCTTTAATCGCCCTGCTTGGGGGCCCTGGCTTTAATCGCCCTGCTTGGGGGCCCTGGCTTTAATCGCTGGCCACAGGCCTTCTCACAGCCCCACCCACTCTTTTTGAAGGGCGCCCCCCCTCCAACCCAGCCCCGGTGCTCCGTGCTCACCAGCACTAGCCCAGGATGCTCCCGGCGCACCACCACCTTCACGCCTAGGGCCTCCACGCGCACGGCGCGCGTGTAGCTCATAGTCTGGCTGCCTCGATGCTCATTTTCCACCAGCACCCGAAAGGCGGACAGCGCCGTGGCGTTGGGGCCGCACGAGCCGGTCAGCAGGTAGGTGCAGGTGCCCATGAAATCGAAGCGCCGGCCGTCGAAGCTCACGTAGTGCGGGTCCCCGTACGCCTGGCAGCTCCCGAAGCGGTCCGGGTAGCAACCCAGGAGGCCGTTCTGGACGCGGCAGCGCTCGCCGGAGGGACAGCCTTGCGTGTCGCTGCAGCTCACCTGGTTGGTGGCGCCGCTGCAGGTGCAGCGCCGCCGGCACTGCTGGTCCGCCCACACCTGCTGGCCCGGGGCCAGCGGGCGGCCCTGGTAGATGCAGCCGCAGGTCGAGGCGGCCACGCAGGCGCTGCCGCTGACCACGAAGCCCGGGAGGCACACGCAGCCTTCCACGCACGGGCGCCCGGAGCAGTTGGCGGGCTTGACCTCGGGGTTGCAGGAGGCGGGGCAGGGGGGGCCGCAGGGCTCGTAGCGGCTGTTGGGGGGGCAGGACAGGGCTGCGGGGAGACAGGGACACAGAAACTGCGGTCAAGCCCTCGAGGGACGCTCAGTCGGGAACGCGCCAGGACTCCCCCCCAAAGAACCCTGCACCTCCCTCAGAGCTCTGCGTCTAATTCACAGCACTTCTGTCCCCAACCCCAGAGGCAGAGTCGACTCCTCCCTCCCTTCATTCCCTGGACACCCGACCTGTCAGCCAGTCCTGTGAGCCCCATATGCAAGATCTACCCAGAATCGGCCCCTTCTCCTCTAACCACCCTCCCTACCCTGGTCCTGTCCATGCCAGCAGCCACCTGCCCACTCTCCCCCAGCCCCCATCCTGTCCCCACAACCTGTCCCTCCCATGCAGCCAGAGGGACCCTGAGAACACCTGAATCAGATGACACCCTTCTCCTGCCCAGAGCCCATTTATATCTGTCTTGCTCAGAGTAAAAGCCAGAGGCCTCCTGGTGGCCTAGGAGGCTCCACACCATCTGCCCTCATCACCTCTGAGTCCTCCCCATCTCTCTGGCTCACTCGGCCCCAGCCACGGTGGCCTCCTGGCAGTCCTCACACTCCCGGCTCAGGGCCTTGGGTCTGGCTGTCCCCTCTGCCTGTGCTGGCCTTTCCTCAGAAGGTGGTGCAGCATGTGGTTAGGAGAAGGTTACTGATGCCCAGGTGCACTGGGTTCAAATCCTGGCTCTCCCTTCTTAGCTATATGGCAAATGATTCCAACTGCCCTGTGCCTCAGTTTCCCCATCAGTAAAATGCGATAATAATAGTACTGACCTCACAGGTTGTGAGGGATAAATGAGTTCATCTGTGTAGGGGCACCCATAAGCATCACTGTTATTACTTAGCTGACTTTGTTGCCTTATCCTTAGGCTCTGCCCCAATGACACCTCCTCAGCAAGGTGTTCCCTGAGCACCTTCATGAGCCTCCCACTTGCTCTTATTAGATGAACTTCATTTCTTTTGCTCTCTGAAGATATTCCACAGTGTACTGTTTACTGTCCATCTTCCTGATAGGACATTAAGTTCTGTGAGAGTGGGGACCAGGATTGCCCAATTCTCAGCACCACGGACAGGGCCTGGCCCAGTGGTTGCATGAACTCCAAGGACTGTCACTGCCAAGTGACACGTTTGCCCCAACCTTAGGCTCACTGAGGGCACATCCTAGCCACCTCCATACCCCTGACATCATCCAGCTCCAGGCTGAATCACACTAAGTGTTCAGATGTTGAGCAGATGTAAGGGGCCCCCTGCCTCCCTCCATGTGCTCCCAGCCTACACCAGGGCATCACTCACGGCAGTTGGCTAGTGACCTCCAGTCCTTGATAGAGATGCCAAACTCCAGACAGGCCTGGACGTAAGTGCTGAGGCTACGGCACAAGCTGGACCGGTCCCCATTTGACACACACAGGTCGTATACACACTCCTTCAGGAAGCGTTGGGGGCTCAGGGTATTGTGGCAGGCGGCAAAGGGGCCATTGGGCTTGGTCAGCATGCCACAGAGACGGTCGCCCTCATAGTGCTGGGCCTGGCCTGGTGTGCAGGAGGGACAGTTGCCCTCGCAGCCATCCTCACACAGGTAGTCCCCGTCATCCAGCTTCCAGTTTTGGGCAAACTCCACAGCATCAGCAGCCTGCGTCCCGTCAGGTGTGAGGAAGTCGTCGTCGGGATTGCCGTTATAGTTGCCACACAGTCCGTACACCTGGCCTTGGAATCTCACGGGTAGGGTCAGTGCCAGTTGGCTGTCCCAGTCGTAGGTGACCACCAGCCCAAAGTCCAGCTCCACTACGGCCTGCCTCCCACTCTGGTACACAAGCATGCCACCCTCGGCCAGGAAAACAGGCAGGCAAGAGCGCTGGTTGTCGATCTAC